TATTATCGCTTTATTTAATAATGATTCAATAAATCGTTGACTTGGCAAACTACTAATAAATACGAACAATTTAATAAGGAGTTTATACTATGGTAAATGGTTGTGCATTTGTTATTATTTTTACACAGTTTACACAAAGACAAATTTTTACTTGCAACCATATTGTTAATCAGGACCTGAATTTTCTAACAGCAAACAAGGATTGCAAACTACCGTAAAAAATACTATTGTCTGAAGGCTGTATTCCACCTTGTACAACTTATGGTTAACAGATTAATGAAACTGTAACATAGCGAAAAATCTTTCATAATAATAAACAAATTATTGTATGGAAGTGGACGTGAGACAGAGTGTGTGTGAATGTATAATGATAACGTCGGGACGCGGAATAAATGTAGAATGTCGGAACGCGGAATAAATGTGTGAATGGAATAACGATTAAGGAGTTGTAAATAGCCTGTTAACCAAATAAGTATACACTGTGTGCTCTTGACATGTAAACAAAGATTGGAAATAAGACTGTAAATGCTGTCTGATTTTTGGTCGGTAGCACATCCATACGACTGTCGCTAAATATAACACATTACATAACGTTTATATTATACTTTTGGTGTTAGCATAAGTCAAATCGGACAACGCAACGTTATTGATTCTCGTTACAATTGCTATTCTATTGCTAGTCTATTTTCGTACAGTGAGATGTTTTAAACGTAGAAATTATGATACTTGCGGCAAACTTTGAAAAGATAATGCGAGTTTAAGAGTTTTCTCCAATACTAATAGTAATTATAAGCAACCTTATGCGTATTGCTTGTTCTTGTATATTGATGATATACTGCACGGCAGTGAATGATACTTGCACACCAATAACATTTTACATATTAGTCTTTGTGATATTAAACACAGCTATTCTATTTTAAAGTTTGTCCATTGAAGAATGGAATCGTCTATTGTACACCTTGAGATTAGGGCTACTTGACACAATACCCCTTGAATCCTGTCGATTATGCGCATTGACGTCCTCTATTTTTGTTACACACGGAACCCCATAATTTTTACGCAGTTTTCTAATATGCAAGCCTAATAAAAAACCGGCTACGCTGATTATAAAGAAATAACGCATTACTTGCAAAACCTTCTCTTTATCGAATATTAAAATACTAGAAAATTAACGCTCTGATTGAAAAATTACTAAAATCATTGGACCCCAGTATTAGGATGATTCAGCCAACCGTCAGAAATTAATTCGGCAGTTGTTTCACAATCAGCCCACACCAACAAAGATTGTTCTTCCCGTTCACACAACAAACACAAAGTCACAACGGAATGGGTATTCGGATTTATAAATCGTACTAATGAGGTAGGTACCATAAATTGGGATGGCGCCGATTTTATTGTGAAATTAATAATGATAACATGCACAACTTAATGTAACTATGTTTCATTACGAATTGAATAAGTCACTCCCCACGTACAATTTAAACAATCAAGAAAAGTACACCTGTTTACCATAAATATGAAAAATAAAGTAAAATGCGTGATAAATTTTTGGTCAACAAACAATATACAGACTTTATTAGATATCAGTCATTGACACAATACAGTAAAATCATCCGTACTATGTGTTATGTAGCATAACTTTGTCCATTGAAAAATTGTTCTTGGTTCTCGACGTTAAAGATGCAATTATGTAATTTGTCCAATTGTGGAAATTTGCATAATCGTGTGCATTACAATTATTTTGGGCAGGCTTTGCATAAGTTTAATGTCTATATTTAAGAAAGGTTCACAAATTATTATATTATTTATTTTGTTAGTGGTTGGTTATTTGTATAGCTGTGAACCCATACCATTTACTACTTTCAATGGATACTGATTGTTTGAAAGCGAATTACAAAATATATCCGAATCTGTGTTACCCCACTACAAAACGTATAAATAAACGCCATATTCACCTGTAAACTTTTCCAAAATTGTTTCAATATCATTATCTAATAATGCCACCATCAAACCACCGTAAAACGCTGCCACCATCAAACCAACGTAAAATGTTGCCACCATATTGTTTGAGTCGTCCACAGAAGACGCACGTCCGCGTTCTTAGTCCGCTACCCCGGTCGGCCGCCTCTAGTGCGCTCTCGCGCTTATATATTACATCCACGACGAGTACACGCTGCCCGGACGTCTGCGGTTTTAATATGGGAGTCAGCATTGCGAGCGATGACTTTTTTGCCACTTTAAGGTAAATATTAGTGCAGTGGTTAGTTGAAAGTGGGTAGTTACGCATTGTAGTTATGGATGCTAACGGTAACATTACCCATCTATAGCATTGATACCGGATCTCAAGCCGAGACGAGGGTCTTAACCCCCTATCAATTTAAAAAAGGAGGTCTTATGTCGATGGTGTTGCCCAGCACATGGTCAGCTATTACACGAAAGAAGATGTATTAGCTGGCAAATTGAAAACACCATCGGCAACGCCGAATTTGGCTAGAAATTTCTTCCGAATTTCTAGTCAAACAAAATTTTAGAAATGTACCCGTGCCCTCTCGTGAATAAGCACCCCTTGATTACCACTATTAACAATGTAATTATAAATTTTTATAAAAGTCTTCATTACTGTAATTACTGTTAGTATTAGATAACCCCCTAAAGTTTATTACTTACGTGATGGGAGGAGGGTGCTCATTCACGAGAGGGTACGGTAACAAAAAAGATTGGAAATTTTATCGTGTGATGTAAATTACGTCGCGAATATTACAAAACAACGCGAAGTTTTATATATAATAAAGATATTATTATGTAACTTTTTCTTTCTTTGCAATTGCATTTTTGTTACTTTTTTCGTAATTCGTTTTCAAAATGTCTTCTCCGCAACGCCAAGTTATATTACATTTTTGACAAAAGAATTGCACATTCTGATTAAGATACCACTTTCAACAATCTATTACAATATTGGAAAGTTGAAAAAAACTGGCAACGTGTGCATAAGGGAGGTAACGGCTGACGTGAAAAAATTATGTGTAGCGCAGCAGGAGCCATCGGTCAGTACAAGTTCAATTTTGTCTGCAGTTTATGAAAAGTTTGCGGAAAGTTCTAAACGCTCGAACTTGACAACTCGACTGACGGCAAACAGTGTCAACGTACCTCAACATGACAGTTTCGGGTTCTTCAAACACATAAGAAGTTCAACACTGAATGTTTTGCATAAAAGAGATTATGGCTGTTTCAATAAACAGGTTATTACAATTTCGGACTTAATTATATAACAATCTTTTTTTTAAAAAAAAAATCGCGTGGTTCCTTATCAAATTGCAAGCTATGATGATCCAAAGCATACTAGTCGTATTGCTAAAAAATGGCCAGCCAACAACCTGGACCTTAAAGAAAACTAATAGTGAGAGACATAGAACGAGACATTTTTAATGTTTGCATATACCATCAATACCACATGAAAACCGGCAAATGGTCAAACTCATTATGCAATAAATCGAGTCGCTATAGTTGAATTAATCGTTAGACATTGAAATTAAAAAAAAAAAAAAAAGAGACAATGTTGAGAATGACTCCAGCCGACATCGGCATTATGTCTCGCAGTTACGACGTGCTGCAAGAAAACCAAAGTGATCTGAACATATTTTGGGTGATAATTGACCTCTGTTTCTTACAATCATTTGCTTAAATTGAATGTAAAATGATAATTTATTATTCTGTTCACATGGGACGACATTCACCAACTGCACGCGGATTAAAGCTTGTTCCAGTGGCTCACTTTTAAATTCTTGTCTCCAATTCTTTCCTTTCTTCCTGCGCTCTTGCTTCAATACCCAAATAGTAAACCCCATTCCCTAATTTATTTATAGATTTATTCCGCCTCTACAGTTGCTTGCAATGAATTATACTACCCAGAGCGTTCACGCTTAATATGGTTCCATGCTTTTGACAAGTGGTGTTGCAGAGATTGGAATATATCTCCAATAAGGTGTAGGTACACCTTGTTTATACGCAAGTAAGTTGATCTCGTACTTTCAATGAAATGCTTTCTTCACTATTCCAATCTGACATATTAATATGCCCATTCGGAACGGACTTAACTTCCCATCAGACATAAGTTCCAAACCGACATACGACCGCTGTAGTCTGTTGAACGCAGTATGCGTCTTCCGACGCTCATCGTCACTTCTGGATGGTTCCATGCACGACCACCACGCCCGCGTGATGATGGACCACGTTTGGGGTACGGAACAGATCTTGATCCACGGTCACTATACGAACCTGGCGAGTCCGAGGAAGATGTCGCATCTGGAATAGTTTGGCTGCGTATCAAGGAAGCTGATAATTTTATTTCCGTTCCATCGGGTCTTGTTCTAGACGTATGGAATGTACATGCGTTAGCGTATAATACATTTGGATCTCGAAAAGAAGATGTTGAATTGTATACCTCTAAATGTTTTTCTTGAACATCTCGCCCAATACTCTTGTCTGTTTCAACAGAGATATAGCCAATTTTTGAGTAATTTACGCATTCTTGTAACAGAATTGTACGATTACTTCTCAAACGCGACTCCCCGCCCACGGTTATCAAATCGTCATTTACTAAAATAGATTAACCATCTTGCATCCTATAGTAATAGTAACGCCAATTCCGTAAACATAAGTGGCAATGTAAATTCATTAATAAAGTAAGTAAACGAAATATTTTTAAAGACAAATTTTTGTTTTATTCTATTTTTTTCAAGTTAATACAAAACCTCATTCATATTCTGTATGTAATCTCCAGCACAAAGTATATTTCTCAAAGCAGCCAATTGCTGAATCACTGGATCCTTCCCATCTTGCGAGCACATCTATTCCGTACGGGTTTATTATATACGTGTCACCAAATTAGTCTCTTCAAATAGCCACCAACAGTTTCCATTCCATGTCAACGTTTCCAGTCAACAGACCTTCGAACATCTTGTTTCCATTTCGAGAGAGCTGCAGACGATGTGACGAGGGCATTTGTATTTGATATCAGGTTCAGTGCTGACTGATGTTGCAGTTCTGCTGTGTCGAGGACGGTGTTTGAATTGTCTATAGCATCTCAAGTCGTTGGTTTTCGATAAAACCTATGACGTTGGGTCTTATTATGGACTGAACACATTGCTACAGTAAAAGGAAATAAAAGCGTAAGTCAAATAAATCAAGGAATATAAATCGTAAGGAATCGCACAAATGCTACTAACAATTTATGTGTAGCTATTAGTTGCATTTGACCGGGGTAGTAATACTTTCGGCACGTTCAATTAATATATATTCCCATCGTTCGATTGAGCAACGTAGTATAGAGTGTCTACTATATAATAAAAAAAGATTGGTTTATTTAGCAGTCCGTTATGAGAGAAGACATAAGAGCAACGAGTAGTCACCATTATGGCATAGGTACTCTCTTTCAAACTATGCAGAATATCGTTGCTAACGCAATCTTGGATGACGTTGTTATATAGAAAGGCCTATTGCGAAGGATCTTGCAATAACGGGACCTAATCAGACACTGCGTTACTATCGATCAACTAGTCCAATGTTTCCCGACTGTTAATTAGCAAATATTGTTACATACCGTTCACCAAGCTTTATGTGAATACCCACTGTTGGCAATTGAGATATCTAATATATTAGCGCATCAACTTTAACAAACAAGTCAGTTCCTCCCCCCAAAAAACATGTACTTACATCAAGAGGGTAGCACGATGAATATACTCTGTTGCTATCACGTCTATAAAGCTTGTAGTTAGAGTTTACAAATCATAGTCTACCGCAACAAGTTCTTGCATAAATAACAGTACCAGAATTTAATATTAATGCACGTATAAGAGTATAAAAATTAATCAAATTATTACCTGTCTTGTAATAAAATCAGTTCCATCTGACGCTCCAAACTCGGTACAAAGTGGTACGGATGGTCTCCATCCATTAGATCATATTCCGTAAGTGTTCTATAAAGAGAAAGAGACGAAAAGTACAATAAAATGTATTAATTTTATCATCGATCTTGTTTTCACTTGTATCACGTTTTAACTATGCTTGGCAGGGTTCTCGCCACACAAGAAACAATAATCTTCCATAGCGAGATGCAACAATGATAGGCAGAAAAGTCAATTTGGCCCAAACGAAAGTCCTGTAGAAGTTGGAACAACTACAATGCAAATGCACAATAAATAGTGATTTAGGCGTGATGCAAACCTCCTA